CCTGCTGTGTTGAACAGCAGGGCCCTGACGATGGGAATGTTTTGCAGAGTTCCTCCTTATATGCCTCAATGGGAAAATCTCATGACAGAGAGAAAAAATGAATGTTCCCAGGGCTCTTGAATGAACAGAGTATCCAGGAACCCTGAACTACGCCGGGTCTCCTCTCTCTGTAGTACAACATCACAGAACCATGCTTCAAATAACCATGCTCACCTTGATGGAGAGTCCTGGTGGCCCCTGTGGCCCTGGTAAACCTGGTGGTCCTGCTACCCCAGGAACCCCTGGCTGCCCTTTCTGTCCCTGCAACAACAAAAACCAGGAAAGGGAGGTACATGGGCTCTGTCCCAGCTCTCTTCGCTTCTCTGCCAGCCCTTGAGAAGCTGAAGGGTCCACCACACCTGGGGTATGATACTCACGGGGGGGCCAGGCTGCCCATTTCGGCCGGGAATCACCTCCACGCCTCCCAGGACATAGCCTGGTTCGCCCTGCACACAAGGGGAGGAAGACACGCGCTTAGCTGCATTGGGAGATCCAGGTGCAATCAGGCACTTTCATAATTTAGGGGCAATTTCATGATCAGTGTAAGTGAAAAAAAAAAAAAAAAAAAAAAAAAAAAAAAAAAAAAAAAAACCAACCAAAAAAACCCCAAACCAAACAGCCCCTTCCTACACTACAAACCTGTGTTGCTTGCAGCCACTGTTCTGCAGAGGTACCAGAAACCACATGGCCATGACACGAGTTTTGCTTACAGGCATGGCAAAAAATAGAAGTGGGAAAAAAAAGGGAGGTTGGCTTTCAGCGGGATCCACTCCCTGATCTGTAGCCATACAGGTGGTTCAGATGGATGCAAGGAAGGAGAAGGAACGTGCATTGAGGGTTGGGGGAAGGACAGGACACCTGCTCCTGGGATCTGCCCACAAATGATCCTGAAGCCTTAACCATTTTGTGTCCTAAATGGATGCAAACAGGCTTGTTCACAGTGGAAACTCATAAAGGCAGAATGACCCAACCAAGCAATACCTCCTTCTGCAAACAACCAACTGAAATGTGCCGAGGGCCCGTGATAAGGACTGAACACTTTTCTCCATAAAGATGTTAGATTCCTCCTAGCAAAGCTGCAGGGCAACTCCCCAAGCTGGAGAATGGCCACGCAGGGCTAGTTACATATAGCTCAGAAGCTCATATTCACCAAAGGTCACTGTACAAATGCTTAGAAATTGGAGATCAGAGCAATACAACAGCTTTTGCCCAATGAAAACCAGGAATGAAACTCACTCTGTCTCCTTTTGGCCCCACTGGTCCAGGATAGCCAGGAGATCCCTGGAATTAAAACCAAATCCTGCAGCATTAAACGGGAAAGCACCTGCAAGACCTGTGCCTAATAAAATTTCATTCACTTTTAAAATGGTCATGAAAATAGGTTCCTAGAAGTGGTCCCAATATTGATGAGAAATATATATGTCACCCACGGGTGTGTCTCTCTTTAGTGATATGGGTGCATGTGGGATGGACACCTGATCTAGTGACAGTGTAGTACATTCAGGCACCATGGGAAGATGTGAGGAACGAGGGGTTGCTGCTTATTTAATCCACCATGAGAAGGTAAATGAATCAGAAGGAGCATTCAGTGGGTGCAGTGGTTTGTGTTGGATTCCTGTGATTCACGCAAACCATGGCTCACAAACATCACAACCCTTGTTATAGATGCTAACCCATCACAGACGCTGGCAGTTTGATCCAGATGCCCAAAGATGGGTGATATCATCAGGTACCCAAGGCATAGGGCTGGATGGCAGACATGATGCAGGAATTATGGGAGACCTGTGTCCTTCTGGAGCATCATCTGGAGTGGGATAACAGGGCATCTCAAATCACAGGAGAGGACTCTCTGAACAACTGAATTGAGCCCAATAGATGGAGTTAAGTTCAAGATGGTGCCACTAAAATGTTGTTTGTGCACAGGAGCTGGCTGTTTACACCCCGGTGCAGCCAATGGAGATCTGGGACTTAGTTCAGTTACACGTGCACTGGTGTCTTGTTCCATTTGTGATGCTCTCTGATGCCTTCCTGGCCTCCAGCTCTCACTTCACAAGTGTCCATCAAGTCCCATATTTTATCGGCCCTGCATGGTTGCCTTGAAAATCCTAGGGCATTTCAAATCACAGAATGGTCAGGGTTGGAAGGGCCCTCTGGAGCTCCCCCAGTGCCACCCCCCGCCAGAGCAGGGGCCCCTCCAGCAGTTGCACAGGATGGTGTCCAGGCGGGTTTGGAATAGGTCCAGAGTGGGAGACTCCCCCACCTCTCTGGGCAGCCTGTGCCCCTGCTCTGCCACCCTCACAGGAAAGAAGCTCCTCCTCAGGTTGAGATGGAACTTCCTATGCTCAAGTTTGTGCCCGTTACCTTTTGTCCTATCACTGCGCACCACTGAATAAAGACTGTTCCCATCCCCCTGGAACCCTCCCTTTAAGTATTTATAAGCGTTGATAAGGTCCCCCCTCAGTCTTCTCTTCTCCAGACCAAGAAGATCCAGGTCTCTCAGCCTTTCAATGACCTGGGAACATCTTGGTACCAGCCCCTTGTCAATTTAGCCCTCAGAACCAAGGGTGATTTAGCTGGTCAAATGCAGTTGTCTACTAACAGAGCCTTGGTAAAAGCAGGGAAGGGACATTTGTGACTGCCGATTTAGTGTGCAAAGCCATGACATCACCAATGACATCAACAGCGTGGAGCAACTAATACAGCAAAACCAAGGGCACATGAGGCTTGTCTGGTCTAGCTAGATGCATGTTTTCCAAGCAGCGCTGCGAACTGTTGCGTGAACAATTTGTTTATGGGAAGGCTGTGAGCAAACGCCGCTGCCGACGATTATGCATTAAGACTGGTAGCTATGACTGAAGGCAGAGTTCATAGTCCTTGGCCTTTTTCTGGACAGCTCTGCTTCATTGAGGGTTACTCGGCTAGAAATGTGCCCATGTTGTGTTGCATTATTTGCCAGATCTCTGAACAGAAGGAAACCTACTCCATCCCTGGAGGTGTTCAAGGCCAGGTTGGATGGGGCTTGGAGCAACATGGTCTAGTGGGAGGTGCACCTGCCCATGGCAGGGGGGTTGGAACTAGATGATCTTCAAGGTCCCTTCCAGCCTAAACCATTCTATGATTCTATACTCGGAGCTATTCGGTGACAGCAATAGTCTGTCATAAAGGCAAAATGGGTGACTTGGTTCTCCTGTCCTGCTCAGCGCAACTGGTTGTTGAAAGGCTTGAAAAGCAAAGCTTTAGGGTCCCACTGTATTGATGATCTTTGCTGCATTCAAAATACTTACCGTATCACCTTGGATGCCAGGGAGACCCTGCAAAACAGGAGAGAGAGAGAGATTTGAGAGCCATACTCACTTTTCTCTTAAATGGCATTTTGACAAGGTTTGCTAAAACAAATACTTACCATGAGTCCAGGGGGACCAGGAGGACCTGTCCGCCCCGGTCGGCCCGGCAGCCCGGGAATGCCATCGTTCCCAGGTAGACCCTAAACATATGGAAAGTCACAGATTGCAGGTTATGGCCCCAGACCTGCAAACCCAAAACAGCTTCGTGCAGCACCAGCCTTCTACACCGCTTGAGGGAATCCCCAACTGCCAGCACACACACACAGAGGTTAGTTATCTTCTGCCTGATTTTCAAAGCCAGCATGGAGCAAGATGTATCAAAACACCACCATAAAAGACCTCAAAAAGATTCTTTGCTAGATCTCTTCCTTCATTCTACTCATTTAGTCACATATTAATTAACCGAGTGGATGGTTCATGCTGGTGGACTCACCCTCTCTCCTTTCTCTCCCTTTGTCGTAAAGCTGTGTGGGTCGTAGCCTCCATGAGCTGGTGAGCTCCTGAAGCTCTTGAAAGGAAAACAAAAATAGAACAAATGATAATGAAATTATTATCTGTCAAAGGATGGCAAATAAACCCAACCCAGAGTGACCATGAAACACAGACTATAACAACCCTTGGCTTATGCAACAGAAGAAAGAAGCAAGGTTGACCATCCAGGAGACCTGTTCATAACCTCAGACTATTTTAAGTCCCTTGGAGGTCACACATTATTTATTATGTCTCCAGCTTGTGTCTCGAAATTGGGAGAATAAGATGGAGAACCCAAGAGTTCTGTGAGGACAAAATGCAGGGAGTGTATCGATAACTCAGGAAGTCTTGGCCCATGTTACCCCTGCAGTTCCAAGATCTTCTTTTTGGCTCAGAGAGACTCTACATATTGTTCATTACACATCTGTCAGACTTTGTGGTAGTGTCAATGCAATTCTTCTCCCCCGTGGGAGAAACTGTGGAAAAGAGTTTGGCAGAGATGAAATGAAGAGCCTAATTCAACTATTCATGGACAACATTAATCTCACTTAATTTTAGACTGCCATAGCATAGACAACACCATCTGAGCTATTCTGCCAGTGTGGACACCTACCTATGAACTGAAGTATGATGCGACTGCTGACCACACTGACTAGGTGTCTACCAACTACTATGGAGACACTAAATTTTCTCTAGTGAAGCTAACACAGACTGTTTAGACCTGTTGGATGTCGAGAAGTCACTGCACTTTTATATCACCAACCTTTTCCTTGAAACAGCCACAAAATATCACTGTTAGAGATACTCTGCAGATGAGCTCCCATCCATACCAATGACCCATCAACCAGAGTTAGAAAGGGGAAATGAATTTATAATGCATTCAAGTCCTCTGCCCTTGCAGTGGCCTTATGCAACAAAACCTTCAAAGCTGTTTTCTGGCTTCCCCAGTTCCACTCCCTTGAGTTCAAAGACTTTGCTCCTTATCTTGAGGGTTGGACAGTAAGTAAGGTCAGGATTGGACCCCGTGTCCTAAATCTGTTCTGACTTTGCTTCAAAACTTTGCTCAGGGAAGAAGATCACCCTTGTGCAAGACCTGTGCCAAGCAAGCTGGCTTATATTCAAAGGGCTGTGAAGCAGCTCACCTCCCTGGATGGTAGTTGGGCCCCTGAAGGCTGAAGGTCAGAACAAATGACTTCTATCAGCTCTCGGAGGATCTGGGGGAAGTCGTCAAACGTGCTGACATAGAAAACATTCTGGAGGTTCTGCTGCAGCAAAATGCTGTTGAGCTCAACGGGGTCAGCTCCTGAGACACCCACAGCGATGATGCGGATCCCTGAAACACATCACTCTCTCAACGGAAGCAAAACTGTTTGAGATCAGAGATTTCAAACCCCTCATCACAACCTTCCTTTTAATAACTTCTGCTGTGATTAGGTACTCCAGTAGCCACTCAAGAGCTCACCTGAAGCAGCATGTGTGAGCTATAGCAAACCAAGACACTCAAACTAGGAACAGAGAGAAGAAAGGACAAAGGAGTGAAGAAAGCCAGCAATGCACTCAAAGTGTGCCCATCACATAACGTACCGCCCTCAACCCCCTGGAAATCCATGGAGAACCAAGGCTTCAGGGAAACGCAACAGGGCAACTCTTACCCAAAGCATGGGCTGCTCTGGCTGGTAGCAACACGTCATCCTGCGATCGCCCATCAGTCACGAGCACCAGCACATGAGGGAAATCTGGTCTCATCCCTCTGGAGGACTGAAATAACTCCTTTAGCATGTAGGCTATACCACGACCTGGGCAAACATAGAGATGGATAGTGTAAATCTGCCTGTTAGGTTTGCAGGTGGGAACTGTGGGTCCCCTTCCACAGATGGAGAAAAAATGGCATTCAGTGTGGCCCCATAAATGGATAGTAGCCCCTAGCATGGGGGAATGTCTTTGGAGGGAAGATAGCAGTAAAACAGGTTGGCTGGAATGGTTCACACTGAATTCAGCAGATAGTTTTGGAAAGGAAAAAATAACACATTTGGGAGATTTGAAGGACTTTCCTTGCATTTTAGAAAAAAGCCCACAGAATTCCCATTTCCAAATTTCTTTAGAAAGACCAGGAAAATTTCACAAAGAACTGTCCCTGAAACTGAAATCGTTAAGAAGCCCCAAAACAGTATGGAAAGATTCCTATGATGGGTAAAATGCCTCTATTGACATGACCTCCATAAAAAGAAGGATTAGAGGCAAGATTACCTGGGAATTTGCAGTCTGACCACTTTCACATCTGCTTTCCCTAACCAGTCCCATCAAAATTCTTTCATTTTGATCAGTCCCATTTTTCTGTGTTGCTGGCCAATACTGCTGAGCTAGGATGAGGTATATAAGCCTTCAATTAACAAACACGGGTACCTCAAGGCTTCCCTTTATGTTGTCTGACTGGAAGATGTTAATCATAGAATTGTCTAGGTTGGAAGGGACCTTTAAGATCATCAAGGCCAACCATCAACCTAACACTGCCAAAACCACCACGAAACCATGCCCCTCAGCACCATGTCTACCCATCTTTTAAATCCCTCCAGGGATGGTGACTCCACCGCTTCCCTGGGCAGCCTGTTCCAGTGCTTAACAACCCTTTCTGTGAACAAATTTTTCCTGATATCCAATCTAAATCTCCCCCGCCACAACTTGAGGCCGTTTCCTCTTGTCCTATCGCTTGTTACTAGTGAGATGAGGTTGATCCCCACCTCGCTAGAACTTCCTTTCAAGTAGTTGTAAAGAGCAATAAGATCTCCCCTGATCCTTCTTTTCTCCAGGCTGAACAAACCCAGTTCCCTCAGCCGCTCCTCATCAGACATGTGCTCCAGACCCCTCACCAGCTCTGTTGCCCTTCTCTAGACATGTTCCAGCACCTCAATGCCTTTCTTGTTGTGAGGGGCCCAAAACTGAACACAGTACTCGAGGTGGGGCCTCCTCAGGGCCCAGTACAGGGGGACGATCACTCCCTGGTCCTGCTCACCACACTATTCCTGATACAGGCCAGGATGCTATTGGCCTTTTTGGTCACCTGGGCACACTTCTGGCTCACATTCAGCTGGCTGTTGACCAACACCTCCCAGGTCCTTCTCCACCGGCAGCTTTCGAGCCACTCCTCCCCAAGCCTGTAACGCTGCATGGGGTTGTTATGACCCAAGTGCAGGACCTGGCACTTGGCCTTGTTGAACCTCATACCATTGGCCTCACCCCATTGATCCAACCTGTCCAGATCCCTCTGTAGAGCTATCCTACCTTCAATCAGGTCGACACTCCTGCCCAACTTAGTCGTCTGCAAACTTCCTAAGGGTGCACTCTATCCCCTTGTAATTGGGCTATTTAAGAAGGGTAAAGATAAAACTAACTACCTTTAATTTAATATTATTGCCCATGTACCTTCAGGGAACCAGGTATACCCTACTGTCCTGCTGGGAACGAGTAGGTGGAAAGTGCTGTTTGCCTCTGAGCATTTAATCACATGAGACGAAAGTGTGTGAATTTTGAAAATGCTTTGCTGATGAAGAGCTGTGTTATTTGTACAAGAGAGGTCAACAAAGGACGTTTACGTGGTGACACACCATGAAAATAGGACGGGGCACATTGTTTTGTTGTTAGGTGTAGCAAGGTAATAACTGTTGGAATTTGTTGATTGAAATGTGCATACAATGGGCAATAAGGATGCTTCAGCATCAGCTACCCTTACCTAATGTTTATGGACTTGGTCTCCAGGTATAAATACCTCCCTCGAGTTATAAGGTTATAAAATAATGAAGAGAAACCCAGCAGTAAAACTAAGACATGGATAAAGGACACCAGGCTAGCTGGAAAGACTATCCCTGGAAATAAAACTAAATTCAATCCTCCATTCTCAAATTTTGAAGAACTTTGGGCCACAACTTTTTAACCAGGTGAATGGGTTCAAAACACTCAGATGAACGCCATCCCTGGTCTCCAGCCTCTGTCTTGGTCCAGAAGGCCCACCCCATGTGTGCAGCTCACCCATCCAGACCTGTTTTTGTGTTGCCTCCGGCATAGGTCAGTCCCTTGATGGCTTTCAGGGCACCGTTGCGGTCCCGGTGCTGGTTGAAGTGGAAGGCTGCCCTGGGCTCCTCGCTGTACTGCGCAACAGCAACCTGCCAAAGAAAAGGGGGTTAAAAAACATGGAGGGCGCAGGTACACGGAAAATGTGCCATCACTCAACAAACTGCCTTGAGTTGCGATAATACAACTAGTTGCGGTTTTTCAGACATTCTAGGGAATCAGAGGTTTCTGCACAGGCTGGTAGATCCAGCACAGCACTGATGGAAGACCTGCACGCTTCAGGTAGCTCACAGTTGGGTGGGAGCATCTCCTGCTGTAGGAGGTCCCATGGCAGCACCCATCCCTCCTGAATTAAACCCTGCATCTCCACTGAGTGCAAAAGGAGGCCAGCTACTCAGCTTGCACTATAGCCATCTAAATTGAAATGTCTTTGTTTCTCCAGAATTATTTGTTACCCCAGGGTAACTTCATCACGTGTCTACACCTTCAACCCACTTCCTGACCTACTGAAAGTAAGCTATGAAGGTCTCCCTTTCAAAGGATTAGTTCAGATATTACATTAATTAAACACAAATGACCCCAAAAAATTATTTACTGTGTCTTCCGGTTAGATTTGCTGAGTTGTTGCTCAGGGCTGTAGGCTTTATTTGCCCTTGAGATTCTACACAGCATGGCCTGGGGATCTGGTCCTCTGCTTGTCTGAAGGATGCAGCTGCTGCCATGTTGCATCTCCCATCTGGGCCTCCACCTGGGTCTCTAACCATTAGCAGTCAGGATGTGGGCAGAAACGAAGTCCTAGAGGGGCACCTGCACCTGACACATCCCTGGGCTGCATAACCAAGACAGCATTTCTGTAGGTCTGGGGTTTGTTTTATTCCCGATGACTCACTCTTGGAAAAATAACAAAGAAGTGGAAATACATCCAAACAAGTAGGCTGAGATTTAGGAGACTTTTATTCATGTCTTTCTTGGACACACACATGTCTTTAGGCAAAGCACTTAGCCTTTCTGAGCCACCGCATGTGAGCGAGCAGGCTGCAGTCATTGCAAGGGTGAGCAAAAGGTGAACACTTGGCAGGAAAACACCTTCAGGAAATAGAATAACAAAATCTTGCCTGTGTCCCTTCAGGCCCAATCTTAGGGAAATAGGAAATGATCCGGAAGAGGAAATCCTTCACTTTATTGAAGTTGCTCTGGCCAATACTCGAGGACTCGTCCACCAGGAACCCAATGTCTGCTTTGAACTTGCCACAGACTGCAGAGGGAAGAAAGGATCTCCGTAAGCTGGGGGGTCCTAAAGCAGAAGCGTGTTTCTTTGTGTTCAGAGCAACAAAAAAAAAACCCAAGCAAAAATATCTCTTGCAATGCCAAGTCTTGGTGAGTGAGCAGGCAGCACCTTCACCCTACAGGGTAGTGCTGAGAGCTTCACTGCATTTTTATGGGGTTTTTGTCTTCCCCTTCCCCGACATTGGCCACTGTCACTACCCAGTGAATGAAGACTAGTTTTGGCTCCTGAGAGCATGGGAGACCATGGTCCCTGGTGGTTTTGACCTGCTGCTACATCATCATCCAATCACACATGGATACACACTCACTTGGCCCAGGGAAAGTTGTCAGCGGTGTGGACACTACAGTGGTGGATAGCAGGGTCTCTGGGGTTCGTGGTAGTGTTGTGGTGGTGGCCAGTGGAAGAGGAGTGGTCCCCACGTTGCTGGGAGATATGGATGGGGATCTCATTGTATCATCCAGTTTTGTAGAAGTCACAGGAGCAACTGCTGCAGGTGACTCTACGTGAGGTCCCACTATAAGAGGCAAACAGAAAAGGCGTTTTTCAAATCTCTTTTAGTTATGATGCCACTACGTAGCAAAGCGTCAGAAGGGTAGGGAAGCCAAGGAATTAGCTTCAATAGCAATTACCTAGGTAAAACTGCAACACAAGTCTCCAGCCTTCATACCTGTTTGCCCAAGGAGCGTTGTCTCTGGTCCCTCCGTATCTCCAAAGACTGGTCTTATAGAAAACAAATACATCTCTTTGGCGCTCAGTCCTGTCACTCGATACGATCTAGAAGCTGCTGATAACAGTTCCTGGGAAAGATCAGAAGCTGTGAAAAAGGAAGAAACATGCATTGACTGGGAGCCAGAGAAACTCAAAATAACTCCCATTTCTGTAACATCCCATCTTCTAATGACACCACCTTTGGCAAAGAGGAGCCTGGGGACAAGATGAGTCCTGGGTTTCAGAGTGGAGGCTCTTGGTAAGACATGCTTGCAAACTGCAATGGTCAGGTCCTAAACCAGATGATGTTTGCATTTGACAAGGGAGTTCTTGAGTACATGAACAGGAAATCGTACAAGTGTTTAGAGAGGGCATTTGGTCCAGGTGGTCTCCAAGGCTGAGCTCTGTGATACACCAGGGGTTTGCAGCGGTCAGCATGTATAGAAACAGGATTCTTTCTTGTTATGAATGAAAAACTTGCTGAAAAGTAGAATCAAACTTACTTGAGAAATTTGATCACATACAATAGATACTTTTGATCTAAAATAATGACAGGAAAAATCTGCGAAAATGTCATAATGTTTTGACATTTTATAAGTGTCTTATTTTGGAAATACTGAATCATAAGTTTTGACCCTGCTCAAAGTGCAACTTGCACCTTTGCATTCTGAAATAGCATTTTCCCTTTAAAAAAAAAAAGTTTCTACATAAAGAAATTAAATCAGTGTGAATAATCTGTTTCATTTTCATTAGATGCTCTCAATTACCCCCAAAAAATTTCAGAAGGGGGGTTTTGCTCCTTTAAAAAAACCCCAAACCCTCCTGCAATTTGACTCAAGCTCTTCTAGTCCCCTCCTTTTGGGTAGGCAAGTCAAAATAATAATAACAGGTTTAGATTACACGCTACATTGTCTGAAGGGATTTGCTGTAGGAAACACAAGCTGACCGCTCTCCTGAAACACAGCTCTATGGCAGCCCACCACCCACCCTGCCTGCCTAGACCCCCAAACAGGCAAGTTCAGCTACTTTTCCTTTTGTAGCAGTAAACCACTGCGTAGCACCAAATCCCTTTGTTTCATATAATGAGTCTTTCACACAAGGAGAAAGTGCATGGTTACCACACTCGTACTCTGGGACAGAAAGAAGACTTTCATAGAAGACTGACGTAGGAGGCACCTGGATCATACCCAGGGAGTGATGCCCGGCAGAAGACTGACAAGCACATGTAGGAAGAAGGCTGCAGCCTTTGGAGAAGGAAGATGGTCTTTGCTGGTGTCCTGGTTTGAGCGATACAGATTTCTCTCTGAGTAATTTTACCTGTCAGTAAAGTCTTTTCTAATGCTCAGGAAAACTGTACTTTTAGAAGACTCTAATGTTGGAATTTGTGAAAATATTTCCTTTACAGCCAGCTATGGTGTGTGGGTTTCAAGGTCTCAGTGTTGTCAAGCTCACCAGGTGTGTGGACGAGGAGAAGCAAGACCCGGGCACTTGCCCCAAGCTGGCCAACAGGGTTGTTTCATACCATGAATGGCACAGTCAATATAAATTAGAAAGTTTGCTGGGGAGTTCTCTCTCTCCCTTGATGGCTGCCATCCTGAGAACTCCTTGCCTTGGTGCCGGTGCCCTGAGCCCTTCCCTTCCTCCCGAACCTGCAGCGCTTGCAGTGTCCCACATTTGCTGTCCTCTGCTGGGAGCGCACTGCTTCTACTGATAGCATGGGCTGAGTATAATCCTTGAATATTTTATATTGGTATCGAGATCAATACTGGTTCTTTAGTGCTATTAATGTTAATTATCTACTCTTATTCTCTTAAATCTGTTTATATTTCAACCCCTGGATTGCCTTGTTTTTTTTCCCAGTTCCCCTTCCCGGGTGGGGAGGGGTCATCGGGTGAGAGAATAATTGTCTAAACAACAAGAAATCAGAAGGGGGGTTTTGCTCCTTTAAAAAAACCCCAAACCCTCCTGCAATTTGACTCAAGCTCTTCTAGTCCCCTCCTTTTGGGTAGGCAAGTCAAAATAATAATAACAGGTTTAGATTACACGCTACATTGTCTGAAGGGATTTGCTGTAGGAAACACAAGCTGACCGCTCTCCTGAAACACAGCTCTATGGCAGCCCACCACCCACCCTGCCTGCCTAGACCCCCAAACAGGCAAGTTCAGCTACTTTTCCTTTTGTAGCAGTAAACCACTGCGTAGCACCAAATCCCTTTGTTTCATATAATGAGTCTTTCACACAAGGAGAAAGTGCATGGTTACCACACTCGTACTCTGGGACAGAAAGAAGACTTTCATAGAAGACTGACGTAGGAGGCACCTGGATCATACCCAGGGAGTGATGCCCGGCAGAAGACTGACAAGCACATGTAGGAAGAAGGCTGCAGCCTTTGGAGAAGGAAGATGGTCTTTGCTGGTGTCCTGGTTTGAGCGATACAGATTTCTCTCTGAGTAATTTTACCTGTCAGTAAAGTCTTTTCTAATGCTCAGGAAAACTGTACTTTTAGAAGACTCTAATGTTGGAATTTGTGAAAATATTTCCTTTACAGCCAGCTATGGTGTGTGGGTTTCAAGGTCTCAGTGTTGTCAAGCTCACCAGGTGTGTGGACGAGGAGAAGCAAGACCCGGGCACTTGCCCCAAGCTGGCCAACAGGGTTGTTTCATACCATGAATGGCACAGTCAATATAAATTAGAAAGTTTGCTGGGGAGTTCTCTCTCTCCCTTGATGGCTGCCATCCTGAGAACTCCTTGCCTTGGTGCCGGTGCCCTGAGCCCTTCCCTTCCTCCCGAACCTGCAGCGCTTGCAGTGTCCCACATTTGCTGTCCTCTGCTGGGAGCGCACTGCTTCTACTGATAGCATGGGCTGAGTATAATCCTTGAATATTTTATATTGGTATCGAGATCAATACTGGTTCTTTAGTGCTATTAATGTTAATTATCTACTCTTATTCTCTTAAATCTGTTTATATTTCAACCCCTGGATTGCCTTGTTTTTTTTCCCAGTTCCCCTTCCCGGGTGGGGAGGGGTCATCGGGTGAGAGAATAATTGTCTAAACAACAAGAAATTGTTGTGGGTTCCTCAAACCATAAGAGTTGGGGACAATTTTCTGCTAAGAATGAAGCTGATGTTTCGCAAGGGACAAGAGACTGTGAGGCTCAAGGTGCAAGCACAAGGCTAAACGAGCTTCTGTTGACTAGGTGGATAAGAAAACCATGACTCTGGTGCTCCAAGAACAGTCAAGAGAAGGTAGAAAGAAGAGATAGGAGGGTGATGTCTACCTGAACTTCTCCAAGGTCCCTCCTGATGCACAGTTGAGGAAGGCTGGCTCTGGAGGGAGCCCTGTTGACATGGGTTTGGTTTTGTGTGACACTGGACAGAAGAGGTCTACAGCTGGGTGACCTCAAGCTGCATAGAAGGGGACATGATCTTTTACAGGGCGAGAAGGCTAGAGTCAGCCAGCAGGGAGTAGGGCATTAAATGAACTTAAAATGGGGTCAAGAGAAATGGGTAATGAATAAGTACTTATTTAGAGAAAAAAGTCATGTTGTAGAGAAGAAAATTAATCAAGGCACCAAGAGAGAAAAAAAAAAAGGACAAAAATCTTAATTGCCTTTATACACTAATGTTGGCAGCCTCAATAATTAAACAAGAGAAATTGGAATTACACACTTATGAGCATAAATTTGATCTTGTTGGTACTATTGAAATGTGGTGGCAAGATTCATCTGATTGGAATGTTAAATCTATAGTTATAAACCTATTTCAGAAGGATCGATCGAACGAGGGCACAGGGGGACTGTCAGACATGGTATTATCCATTTCTGAGCCCCTGACAACTCTGAAACCAATGATTTTTGAATACTTACAGATCGATATTTTAACAGAATGGCACAGGAGGGGAATGGTTGCATTAGATCACTTAAATCACCCTAGAGAACCAAATGTTCAGTTCCCTAATCACTTATCTATATTATGTAGAGCAAAAAAATGATGCTACCACAGGAGACTTCATCCTGAGTGACATATGCTGCAAGTCTTAAGCTGCCAATACCAAAATGTCCTTGGAATTAAAAAAAAAATTAAAGCTGACAACGTGGTAACTCAAAAAACACTGCAGGGAGCGCTGGGGAATTGTGTCAGATTCGTTTTCTTTATTGACTTGTGAAGATGAAGTGATCTCTAGCAAAAAGTTAGTGGCCGAAGCAACAATGGCAGGAAAGTTGCTATATTCAAAGAGGTTTAAGCCCACTCCAGGAAACAATAATATAGCTGGTGCTTTCAAAGGGCAAACTCTGTATGGCCAAATCAATTGGAAAAAGAAATATACACTAGAAATTGTAAGCAATGACTAAGAAAGCTTTAAAAGCTCTTTACTATACAGCAAAGCTTTTAAACAGGTAAAAATTATGGTTGTGCGGATGACAAAAATCAACATTTTTTTTCATTCACTGCAACTATCTCTGTTGGACAAGAAGTGACTCTAGGGGAAGAGACACTGATAATGCCAACCAGTAGGCTTTTTCCTGAGCAATTTTCACACCTCCTTTTTCTTCACCATAGAATTTTGCAATGGCCAAAAGGGTCATCTTATGAGCCTCCGCAGTGGGCCAGCTTCCATTTTCCCCCCTCTTTTTCACCCAAATGAAGAAGCTGAGATGTAGGAACATGATGCATGGAAGCCCCCAGGGTCAACCCTCTGTTCTGCTAAACAGGGTCCAGATCCATTCAAAAGAAGGAAAAGTGTTGGTGCCATCAGTGACAGCATCATTTGCCACAGCTCAAACTGGGCAGCACTTGGAGACACAAGTCATGACACTTGAAAGAAACAGCAGCCACCTAAGGCTGGTGGTGGAAAGAAATTTCCCCTTTAAAACCTGCCTCTTGCATTTTCTGTAGCATCACCTGGCTCTAAGACCAGGTATTGAATCACAGAATCATAGAATTGTCTAGGTTGGAAGGGACCTTTAAGATCATCAAGGCCAACCATCAACCTAACATTGCCAAAACCACCACGAAACCATGTCCCTCAGCACCATGTCTACCCATCTTTTAAATACCTCCAGGGATGGTGACTCCACCACTTCCCTGGGCAGCCTGTTCCAGTGCTTAACAACCCTTTCTGTGAACAAATTTTTCCTGATATCCAATCTAAATCTCCCCTGCCACAACTTGAGGCCGTTTCCTCTTGAAACAATTTTTTCCTGATATCCAATCTAACCCCCCCCTGCCACAACTTGAGGCCGTTTCCTCTTGTCCTATCGCTTGTTACTAGTGAGAAGAGGTCAACCCCCACCTTGCTACCCCCTCCTTTCAGGGAGCTGTAGAGAGCGAGGTCTCCCCTCAACCTCCTCTTCTCCAGGCTGAACACCCCCAGTTCCCTCAGCTGCTCCTCATCAGACGTGTGCTCCAGACCCCTCACCAGCTCTGTTGCCCTTCTCTGGACATGCTCCAACACCTCAATGTCTTTCTTGTTGTGAGGGGCCCAAAACTGAACAGAGCACTCGAGGTGGGGCCACCCCAGGGCCCAGTACAGGGGAACCATCACTGCCCTGGTCCTGCTCACCACACTATTCCTGATACAGGGCAGGATGCCGTTGGCCTTCTTGGCCACCTGGGCACACTGCCAGCTCATATTCAGCCAGATGTTGACCAACGTCCCCAGGTCCTTCTCCACTGGCAGCTTTCGAGCCATTCAAACAGACCACAAGACCACAGTGCAAGCCACATATGTCTATGCTCCATCCTCAAATGCCCTTGGGTGACAGGGCAGCTCACATAGGAGGTGAACAAATCACATATCATCCTTCCTTCCCCCACCAAAAAACATTACCTGAGGACAATCGCCATGTTAATAGGTACGTAGATGCCCCAGGAACAGCCGTCCAAGTCAGCAAAACGCTGGTCTCCGCAGCCTCCTGCAGTGTGAACTCAGTCACTTTTGGTAAATCCACTGTTAGAGAAGAAAGAAAGCAAGCTTCGGGTGGGTAGAAGCTACCACTGAGAGCTTGCCCAAGCTGAAAGGAAGCTGATGCTTCCCTTGGAAGGCTCAAATCCTGGCCCCTCTGAAATCTAAGGAAAAAGTCCAGATAGAAATGATGAGCATGAAGCACGTCTCTGCTATGCTTGTCCACAGCTCCAGCTGCTGGTGAATCTCTTGGATGATATCTACCCCAGGGCACAAAGATATGTGTGCCAGGAAACACACCTTAACCTGCAAACAGCTTTGGAGACCTTCTGCCTCCTAAAATACCATGTTTCTGGTGAGAGGAAAGAGCCCCTGCAGCACTTTAGGGGTTTTCCACAAAGCTGAAGCAGATCAGATCCTCAGCTGGTGGGAATTGGTGGACTTCTAGCAAATAACTGTTGGCAGATCTTCAGCCTGCACTACCAAGTGTTTCTCTAAACTGACTGAGAAATTTGAGCTGTTGAGATGGGCAATAAAGTTTTTGCCCACTCACTTGTGCTCCCTGCAACCACAGCGCTGGCTCCACACCCCCGATCTTCTCTGCCACTTGATCTCCAAATCTGCCTATTCTGCAGCATCGATCAAGTCGTGTGATGCCACATCATGAGTGATGTTTGCCTTTATTGACTGGAAATGGTCAAGATATTGTAACTACAGAGGTAATTCCAAGATAATGTGTCACAAAAATAGCATCTCACGGTGATTATTGGCAGGGGAAGACAGGCAAAGTCCCAATGTTTCTTAATAATAATAAGAAAGGACCGATGCAGTTTTCTGGCTTGCTGGCTGGTGGGACCTGAGAAGTATTAAGGTGTCTAACAGCCAACATTGCTCTTTTTCCATCCTCACCTCCCATCAGAGCCCTTAGGAAGAGACAGCCCCCAGTACTAACATGGAGATGCTCTTGTCCTCACCCAGTGGTTCTGTACTCACAAGTTTTGGCTGTGAGGAGTGTGGGGCTTCCCTCCCGTCCCCCGATCATTGCAGACATGCAGATGGTATAGGTGGTGCTCTCCTTCAGTTTAGGGATCGTGAAGGAGACTGTCTCTGCTGCAACCACCTGGGAGGTTTCCAAGCCACCTAAGAGGAGCCATTCAAAAAAATCCAGTGTTACAGAGACAGGGCAGGGTAATTGCTATTAACAATTATTGTTACAGCAGTTTTCTCCCACATATCTTATGGGACCTCGCCAGGGAGGAGTGTTATGTACTCATTTTGCATATGGGGAAACTGAGGCATGGGCAGGTGAGAGATCTGGTCACAAAGGCATCACATATGCTGCTGGAAGGGAACAACAATCCCGATTTCCCAAATCCCAACTAAGACTATATCCAGCACATAACTTCGTTAGCCAGTAAAACCTGGCTCAGTTACAGCACTTCAACCGACTCCCGTAGACATTACAGTCCCCATCTACCCCGATCATCGGTGGGAATGAGGAATGAGCTAAGCTAAGCTCCTGCTTTCTGGGGTTCCTCGGTCTCTGTCCTCATATTGCACGTCACTAAGAGAGCAGGATTCTTACCATTGAATGGCACCCAGGATATCTTATAATGAGTTACCCCAGGAAGCCTCCTCCAAGACAGCTTCAAACTATTAACGCCAGTGTCAGTAATCCTCAGATCTTGAACGGTCTGGATAGGGTCGGAGTCTGCAAGGGGAGCTGCAAAAATTCACCAGGATGAGATGTCTGAAGTAACAGCCCAAGTTATGTAGAGTTCACAGCTCTAAGCTATGGCACTGAAGAAAGATTTGGGTATGTATGCAATATCTACTTTCCAGACATTATCCAGGGGTGCCACGCTGCATTTCCTAAGGAATCCATGGAGAGGAGCACCGTGCAGTCAAGCTGAGGAATCTCATCCACATCTCTTACCACCTGCACCAAACTCCGGTGACACAACACAGGGACATGAGGAAGGGCACCAAGAGAGGACAGATCATCCAGATGCATCTTCAAACACTGAGGGGAACTGTGGTTCAGATGAACTTACACGAAAAGGACACTGAAAGGACTCGGGACCCCAAGTTTGAAGAGGCAGAGCCACAAATCAAGGAATGGCAGACCTCAAGAGTGTGTGCTGGTGAGTTGACTCTGAGTGGTGCCTACAGAGAGGCTCCTACCTTCCTGAGATGGCTGTGATAAACAACACCAGGGAGCGTGTTAATGCGTTCAGGGTTGCCTACCTATGCCAAGCCTGTTTAACACACCAGAAGGACACGTTCCCTCCTACCCGTGGAAACAGCCATGGATTATTGCTACCAGCTATGGGGGCTACTCACGTCATTCCATCATCAACGTGCAATGCCACAGGATGGCATTGGCATACATCCAACATTTACTTCGCAACATAAAGAGGGTTGTTCCACCAGGACATACCTGTGTGGTGAGTCAGAGTCACCTCTGGCCCCTCCGCTTTGCTGAAGACAGCCCGAACACTGACTTTATACAGGGTGTTGGGCAGCAAGTGGTCAATCCGGTAAGCCAACACCCTACTGCCCAGGTACTGAGTCTTGGCAACTTGTTTTTCTGCCAAAAAAAAAGGGATACTTAAGAGCCTGTAACTCACCAGTGAGGCTGGTGGCATCCCCTCCAAAGGAAATAGCTATTCCTTGCTGTACTACTGTTTCAGAGCTTTGGGGATTATCTTCATAAATAGAAGTGCACAAATACAAACAGGGAAGGAGCCATCACCAAGAGATGCCGGCAGAGGACCATGTTTCTCAATAGATCTCTTTCCTATCCCAGGCAGTAGATCAGAAGTTTGGAAAGATGGCTCCCATGGCCGTGGCATGGGTCTGTGCCGGGAATAAGTACGTGCGCCCTTTCTCTCCTCACCTTTGTCTGCTCCCACAGGGCTCCAGGTGACTTTGAATTTGGTGGCAGCTGCGGTGGCACTCCACACCAGAGACAGACTTGTGCTGGTGTAGGACATCACCTTGAAATTGGAGACGTAGCCAAGAGGAGCTGCAAGATGAAGACAGCATCAGACTACTGTCCAACAGGGCTCCTTGCTGTCAGTATAACGAGGCCAAAATTATGTAAAAGAGTTAAAAGTTGTATCTCTGCTTATCCTCACTGTCTGATCATCCTCACCTTGTGAGACACCGGTTTGCACTGCTTGAGGTCTGGGCCACATGTGTACATCCTACCTCCCTTAGCACTAAGGAGTGTCTTCTGCCCTAGATCCAGGTGGGAGCATCTCTGCAAGCCCAGGACAGGCAGTACAGGGATCCAGGGAGTTGTGAAATCCAGATCCCAGTGCTCCCACGCTTCTCACAGGGTGAAACATCCACGCAGACCTCCCACGGGTGCTGATCAGTGTTTGCCTGTGCCCGCTCTTCACAAGGGTCAGCCCAATATCTCCATACTGTATCACAGGGTTACTAGTCACCTTCTGCCACTTTTAAACCTCTCTGAGGATATATCCGTACAAATTACTGTACAAATCTCGCCTCTGCATTCTCATCACCATGCTCAGCATTGCTGCCTTTCTCCCCCCAAGATGCAGCAACCTCGAAGTTTGCCATAGGAGGACAAGCCCTGGCCACCAACTAGACCACCATCTTTCCCCAAAGAGTTTGCTGCCTCTTGTCCAGCAACCTGATCTTCCAGCACAGCCCTTTGGAGTCCCCCCTTCTTTGAGGCAGGGGACAGCCTACGTCACCAGACAGAAAGGACCACATTAAGATGTTCCTCTCCCTTTATCTCCCTATAGCTCCCTACAGCAGAATTTACCTAGGTCTCATGTCTTTTCCAGCTGGACTCTTTGACAGAGTTGAAGACTTCGGCCATTGGTTTGGATTTCAGGGTGCCTGGAAGCTCAGTGTGCGCAGATTGGGCAGCTCATATCTGAAGCTCTGCCCAAGCCCATAGCACATGAACAGGTCCACTGCAGAGCACATTGGCTCCAGTTTGCATCTGAAGACTCACAGGCAGAAACCCCACAGCCTTTGGGACTCATGGTCTCCACTACCAGGCACAGCAAGTCAACAGGGCAAAGGACCACCACCACGGTGTGCCTGACACCAACCGCTGGTGATAGAAGTGGGGTGCAGGAGGCACGATGTAAGGGCATCGTAGGGATAGACAAGGTTGCATCAGCCACACAAGGGTTGCGTGCTGTGGTAGCTACTTGAACGTCCCGCCTGTACTCACATGTCCTGGCTGAGGTTGTGATCCCTGGTCCCTCCACTGAGCCAAAGAGCACATAGAGGGAAATCACATATTCGGTGTCATGGGCCAGGTTGCGGAGCTGGTAGGTTGTGATCGACCTGTTGAGGGCCAGCTGCCGAGGACGGTCTTTGCCAAAGAATTCTTAGGAATGGAGAAAACAAAATAGAAGAGGATAAAAACCGAAGAGTCTGGAGAGCAGCTCTGTTGCATACTGGGAAAGACACTATGTTTTCCCCAGCAGTCCATCTCTGACCCAGTTGAACCTCTGTTGTAGGACACCCATGTAGGCACTGGGACAAGAGAGTTTTCCTATGGTTACTTATTTGGGAATTTGAATGACTAAAGGACCCAAACCAGCTAAGAAGAACTGAAGAAACCAAACCAGCTCTCACATCCAGGGCCCACAGTAATGTGGTACCGTCCAGGGGTGGTTCCAACACGTGCTGTAACCCTCTGCAGCATCTCCAGGGAGTTGCAAAGCCCCTGGGTTGGATGACCATGCAAGGTGGTGCAAGGCCCTTGCACCCGCTGGGATATGTGTTGTCCTGGGGTCAGGCTGAACGTAGTTGCTGCATGGACCCTGTCTGTTGGCACTGCAGATCAGGTCCAGGAATAATTTCTGGTTTCAATTCATGCCCTGAAGTTGTGGGAGGGGCTGCTCAGACCACTTAATGAGCTGGGCCTGCCCTGACACCCACCACCCCTGAGATTCCCAGTGCCTTATCTCCCGTGCTACAGAAAGAGGTGGAGGTGATGCAGGCTGGATCTTACCTGGTGTAGGACCCCAAGCCACTCGGTACCCGGTGGCCCCAGCAACCGAGTCCCAGGAGACCAGAGCGCTGTTAATGGATATCTCACTTACTTTCAGCATCTGAACGGTGCTTGATGCCACTGCAAGACAACCAAGTTGGCCAATTGCATCAAGGTCCCAACAGCTTTTAAGTGGCCCCCCAAAACTGTAATGATCTAGACTGCTTTCTGCACCGATGACAGGCAATGTGGTGACTACAAATGACACCAGCTCTGTGCAGCCAGCACAGCCTGACCCCCATCCACGTCTGCGTGGGCTGGCTCCCACCCCTGCTGCAGGACACTCACCTGTTGTTGCTTTACCGCTCACCACCGGGCCCTCGATGTCCCCAAAGATGGGGTTGATAGTGACGGTGTACTCTGTGCCAGGCTGCAGCCCCTGGATCATGTAATAGCTGTAGGTGTTGCCGAGGTTCACGTCTTGGATGTTACCCTCTGCAAAAGGAAATGATGTCTGAGCTCCATTGGGTCAGACCGAGGAGGACCACCCTCCTTGGGTCTCCTCGTCTGGGAGGGCAGCGGGCAATCATGCAACCAACCACTTGAGAACAACACAATTGTGCGAGATTGAACAGCATTTCATCCTCCTGACTTGTACACGTGCCGGCAAGGTCCTCAAGCCGAAGGTGGTAGGGACAAGGCTTAGTGCAACAAATCTTGGTTGCGGAGCTAATGCATATGCAGGTAGAAGTAACCCACAGCTGCTTGGGCAGACCTTAGTGATCATCAGTAGATCAAGGTAACTCAGGACTTTGCAGGCCAAAGAAAATAAATCACGTAGGAACACACACATGGTCATGTATGGGTCTGCGAGCAGTCCCGTAAGAGGGTCCACACCCTGCCCAGCCTTGGGTCACCCCATCCTGCAGTCATCTTGCCTCCCCTGCAGGACACTGGAGCCCAACTGATGCCACAAAAGACTTTTTCTCATTTCTGTATCCTCGCTGTGGACTAGCAACTGCTTGGCTAAGCCTCTCGGCACGGCAGGAGAAGAGTTAAAACCTAATCCCTGCGGGTCACACCCCGTTTCAGAGGGGCAGAGAGGCACAGGCAGCAGTATGTTGGGGTTTTGGGGAGGAAAGCTGCCATTTGCAGTTTGGTCACTGGAGGGTGCCATGTCCCCATCTTCTGCTCCACCAGCACCCTGAGCCCCATCCCCCTTCTCCCACCCTAGCCATGGACCTCCTCTCCACATCAGCCGCTCGTTTGTGTTTATCTATTCTCTGTCTTAGAAGTCAGAGAAGAAAAATCAAACCTTTCCACAATGCCTGGGATGGCTGCACGGGGATGGGCAGAAGGTGTCTCCATCCCAATGCCACTGCACCCGTAAGGCATGGCCCTAGGACGGGATGGAGCATGGGAGGAGGACCCTGGAGGGCCTGGTGATGAGGGTGGGCTGTCCCTTGGGATTTTTGCCACCCTTGGAGTGGGGGTGAACCAGTATCGGGTGAAAGAGCTGCTCGGAAAGAGCAAACCTGCAGTGGAGGTGATGTGCCCCTGCTCCTTCATGGGAGGCTGTCACACACTGTCCCCTCAAGAAGGGGTGTCCCCCATCCAATAATGTGGTAGGCTGAGGACATGCATGCTCCATTTCTAGCTGGGGTATCGAACAAGGACTGGGTAAACAGCTGAGTTTTCGGGGGGGTGCTGCGATTTTTTTTTTTCCTCTGGAGAACCACTCATTACAAAGCAATAAAAACAGTTTTATATCTTCCCTGTAAAGAATTTTCTCTCCTGATGACCTTCAGAGCTGTTCTCCAACTACCCCCCCCCCCCCCCTCCCTGGGAGATGTCTCCTTACTTCATAACCAGGGGAACCGAGCCAGAGGAGAGCGTGCTATTTATTCAAAGCCTGTGATGGAGCCCAGGTGTCCTGACACCCCATCTTGTCTTTGAACCACAGAAACATCCACCTCCCGAGGCCAAAATATGCCATCAAACCTGATTTTCTAACTTCTGCTCCCCCACACCAGCAATGAAAATATGTTTGGGTTCAGGGCAGGGGGAGAAGCTCCAGCTGCAAATGCAAATCTGTCTTTAGACACCAGTTTGTCTGAGAATGAGGATGCATTATGGGATGCTGGGGGATGAAGCCAGGTCTTAGCGCTGCAGAGAGAAAAGGAACATGCGCAGGTGCTTCCAGTCTGTAACGTGATACTTGTCATCCCAAAAAGGGGGTAACCCCTGATGGTCTGGGGCTATGGGATGTACAGCTCTGGATGGATTACTTTACCAGCTTCACTCCAGCTATTAATTCTTTCCAGAGGCTACTCAGGTCCAGTAAATCTGGCACTAATCCCATGTTAACAAGGCTGGATACCCGTTAGCCTACAGGTATTTTTGCATCCATGGTGGAGTTTACCATCAACACCCATGGTATGGCTCTCTGTTGCAAGTTACTGATTTGGCCCCACGTGCAGAAAAATCCACCATTCTCAGACCCAAAAAACCTGTTTTCCTCCAGCTTCTTGCTGCATGTCTGGACACAGAAGGTGTCAGTGCACCCAATGCCCCGGGGACCTCACAGCTCCTGTCTCTCCATGTCCCTGCTGGTTGCATGCACCCCATTCCCGAGTCTCTACCTGCTGATGTCCAGGTGAGTCTATATCCTGTTGCTCCCCGGACGGGGCTCCACCTTGCCTGGAGCGTGTCGGTGGTCTCATTCTGCAGCAAGATGCTTTTCACAGGCAGGAGCTTCACTGGAAGGAGGACAGGGGACAAGCCTTTCAGAGCACCTACTTGCCAGTGGAGGACATTGCTGGCTGCCCTCCCTGCCCCTCTGTACCTCCAACCTGCCTGCCAGCAGGAGAGGGATTTACAAGGCCTCCTGCCCTCCCTGACAGGCTGAAGGCATCTCATAAAAGCAGTGGTGAAGACAACCATACCCGTGACCGCTGTTTTCCAGGACCAACACCTCTAATGCACTACCTCACTTGCTTTATGCAGTAGGGGTGCAAAACAGGAGGGCAAGCGAGGCTCTGGCAGATCCTCCACCCTTCCTCCCAAGCAGCATCATGGTATTTGAGGGTGTCCATGTCCATGCATGTGATGGGGGAAAACCAGGGCTCAAGATTGGAGTTAGGAAGGACCTGTTGAACCTTGCCCCTTTGATGCACATGTAGCTGCGTGTCCTGGTTTGAGCGACACAGGATTGATTTCTCTTTCAGTAATTTTACTTGTCAGTAAGGTCTTTTCTAATGCTCAGGAAAACTGTACTTTTAGAAGACTTTAGTGTTGGAATTTGTGAAAATATTTCCTTTACAGCCAGCTATGGTGTGTGGGTTTCAAGGTCTCAGTGTTGTTGAGCTCACCAGGTGTGGGGACGAGGAGAAGCGAGACCCGGGCACTTGACCCAAGCTGGCCAACAGGGTTATTTCATACTATGAACAGCACAGTCAATATAAATTATGAAGTTTGCTGGGGAGTTCTCTCTCTCCCTTGATGGCTGCCATCCTGAGAACTCCTTGCCCCGGTGCTGGAGCCCTCAGCCCTTCCCTTCCTCCCGAACCTGCAGCGCTCGCAGTGTCCCACATTTGCTGTCCTCTGCTGGGAGTGCACAGCTTCCTACGGATAGAATGGGCTGAGTATAATTCTTGTGTGTTTTATATTGGTATCAGGATCAATGTTGGTTCTTTAGTGCTATTAATGTTAATTATCTAGTTTTATTCTCTTAAATCTGTTTATATTTCAGCCCCTGGATTGCCTTGTTTTTCTCCGATTCCCCTTCCCGGGTGGGGAGGGGTCATCAGGTGAGAGAATAATTGCCTAAACAATGAGAAATTATTGTGAGTTCCTCAAACCATAACACTGCAGCACCCACCAACTGTGAGGTGCTTATCAACAGCAACGGCTGTGAAGACAGTGCCCAGGGCAAGAAGGGACCAGCCGCGGAGTCAAACCTCTTACATGTTCTTCCTACAGCAGCCACAGGCTGGCTTGGTCCCTGGGGGTACACCGCGTAGATGCTGATGCTGTATTCCCTATCCTCCTGCAAGTTATCCAGCAGGTGGGAAGAGACATCGCCCCGCAGAACCTGCTCATAGGTCATTCCTGGTCTGTTGGCTGCAAAATCAATGAGAAGAGTGATGGTGAAGCTTTCCCACTGCCTGTCTACATCCCATGGTGATGTCTTCACGACACGGTGAAGAGCATGCGCAGGAGCTGGTTCAAGTGCATCATTGAACTCCTCCCAACCCATGTGATGTTGCTGAGAGTTATGTCTGTACCTAAGGCTTGACATATCTGTGCTGTCCCAGCCCTCCAGATCACACAGAGGTGAGTGTGAGCCATACCAAAGGCTTGAACTCACCCCCATCCACAGCAAAGCAGGCATTTGAGTACAAAGTCATCCACAGTAGGTCTGGATGTGACAGTGCAAATGGGTACAAGGCCTCCACAGCACCACCCTCATCTTGTTCTTCAAAAGAAAGTCCTTCAAAGGACTCTCCTCCTTTATCCTGGAGGAAACAAACTGCCTGGAAGAGGCTAACCTGATCTCCTTCCACAGTAATGCCAGGAGCTGTGGTGCTTTGTTTCTTGGACAAAATGGCACCTTTCCTGTCCTCAGGTGACTGCTCCTTTTAAAGCAAACTCCAAGAAAAATTGATGAAATCTGAACTTACCTCTGGGGATATAGATCTTGTAGCCCTCCAGCTTGCCCAGTGGAGGTGTCCAAGCCACCTTTAAGCTAAAAAGTCCTTCTTCTATCACACGGAAATTAGTGACCGGAGGCACAGGTGCTTTGGGGTACAAAAACATTGCAGAAATTGATGAGACAGTGCTGTAATAAAGTGTCATGTCAAAGACCCTCTTGTCTTCACGGACAAAGAGGCACAAAGGCACAATGCCAAAGCAGCACTAGTTCTCCCTATTCTCTCAGCTGAAAAGAAACCACCACCCTGTCTGCTTGAAAAGCGAGCTGAAAAGCCCCAAGGCGGAGTGCTTGTGGGCTTCCTCTTTGAATGGTGTCAGGAACTGTGAAATAACTGCCCTCAAGGCATTTCCTCCTCAGCAGAGAAAACTCCACAGTGGTTTCATGCAGACTGACCAAGGACACATGAATCAAATGCTACTTGCACCTATGGATGTACCTCTTACAAAGAAGAGCCAGTTTTGATCCAGCCACCCATGACAGACAGATTTATACCTTCAGCCTCTGGGTTCATGTTGGGGATAATAAGAAAAGAGATCAAATGACTTTATTTCCACCCATAAAGACATTCCATCTTATTCCTGGCAAGTACATGCGAATCAACCTCATTGAGGCACTTTATTTATTCATCCTGCTGGAGATCTTCCCTCAAGAAGACAAACAATTTAAGACGTTTCAGGGGGTGGGGGAAGAAAAAAAAGACAAGGAAGAAAGGAATAATTCTTTTCAAAAAGCCTTGGGCAAAGCAGACTTGGCACTTCACGCAAAACAGAGAGGGAAGCACAGAATTAGTACACCCCTTGAAACCCCTTAAAGTAGTGCAGAGAATTCTGCGACAAAGCCCGCTCCATCCATCCCATCTGACCCAGTGTCTTGCACCCCTGGGTTTGGCCAAGAGTGAATTTGCTCCTTTGTGTCCAAGAACCTTGTCATTACAGACAGCCTTGTGACAGCAGAGGAATTTGGTGTGGCAGATTGCAATCCAGGGGAAGCAGAGATCATTTGATAGGACCAGAGGTCTCTACGAGGGGCATTTCGTAAAGGCCATGATCATACCACCTTGGTGTTCACTTTGAGTGAAAGGAAGCCCTAAGTGCATGCATAGTGCCAACCCAAACCTTTTGGACCACCCACTTCCAAAACAAGGTGGAGAGATGTATATTCTAAACACAACACTCATGTCTGCGTTTCTCAGTCCAGGGTCTCCAAAAGCTTTCTCATCCCAGGTACACGAGTGTTACATTAACTGAATCCCTGCCTGGATTTGTTAAATCCTGCTGGTTATTAAACCAGATGATGTGAGTTATCCAGAAGGTTGCACCCTCTGCTTTCAAGTGGGTTAACCGCATGGGTTACTCTGCACCCACTCACAACCCTGCACCCCACACCATGGACATTTGCACAGATGTTCCTCCTACCCATTCCTACCTCTCCATCCCTCACACCTCCCACATACGGTTTTGGGGTGGTTTTTTTCCTGTGCCCACACAGACCAGGAACACGCAGGGATGACTGCAGAAGAGACACTCACTTGTTTTCCCCTTGACAGCTGCTGACTCCCGAAGGGCATCTGCATAGATGGCCCTCACCGTGAAGACATACTTGGTGTTGGGTTTCAGATCAGTCACCAGCACGGTACTTTTGTCACCATCCACCACAATCTGTCACACAGGGGGACAAAGGACATCATTACACTTCCATGGCAGTAGAAGACCCTCATGTTTGCAACAGGGTGGGAGCATGAGGCTTCACATTTGATGCAAAGTGACTTCCATGAGCAGAAGCCTCTTAAAACATACTAACTCAGAACACTGCGATCCTCAAATGATGCCTGACTTCACACTGGACATAGCACTGACACCAGACAGTGCCAAGTCTGGGTTTCACAAGTTAGCCCAGAAAACTCCATGAAAACAAAAGTGTTCATAAGGGTGAGGGTGGTCCCCAATCCCCTTAAAAAAAAAAATGGAGGAAAACCAACCATCTTTAGCAAAGAAAGTTTCTTTTAAGCTCATGGAGGGAGATTTCATTGTAACCTGAGGGCAAAAGAGGTAGAGACAACTTCTGTGTTCCGCTGTGTTCTTATGAGATTCTGAAGCAGCCAAGGATGATCATTCTTGTTAAATACAATCTTAATAATTAATACAATTAATAATCTTAACCTTAATAATTTATGCTTTCATAGCTTTGTTCTATTATTAGAAATCAAAGATTTTAGGCATATCCTTCAACCCTTCTCTCAGACTTTGTGCAGTGATCGAGCTGAACTGGGGCAAGCTGGCACACATGGCAGCATCCCTCACACCAAGGACATGGCAAATCCAAAACCAAAACACGCAGATATCTTACCAAGATGAACAATCTTGGCAGCAAGAGGAACAGGGCACGTTGCTAGGAAAGCTGGATGGGCTTATTTGAGAGGTAGAATCATAAAGGAAAGGGGAGAAAAAGTGCTTCCCATTGACCTGTTCTTATTGATTCCAATGGAGTCTGTGCCAATTTGTGCCACATCCTTCTTCCACCCTACCTTCCCCGGACCCGTCACTCCCAGAATCTCCATCTCGCTACAACAGCAATGCCAAAATTAGCATCATCAATCAACACACCTGCAAATCTGACGGTCTACCTACAGACCTTCGCTTCAAGCAAGCGGCTTCAGGAATTCATGCCAATGCACTGGGCCATGACCGGGATGGCTGAGGGAGATGGTGCCACCTTCTACCCAGGATATACCATCAGCAGCCTCAGCAGAGGGCTAACCCCTAATGCCGGGACCTGCAAATGGTGGTCTGCAAAATGGTAATGCAACTCTACCTGCCGCTGGTCCTCTGAAATGGGCTGCCCTGAAGGCAGCAAGGGATGCAGATGGACACGGTACCCCGTCACCTTCCCTGTGGCTGGCATCCACGTGAGTCGCAGTGAGCTGTGGCTGTGCTCACTAACATACAAATCCCGGGGGCCGATGATCTTCTCAGCTGAAAAAAAAAAAAAAAAGAAAAGAAAGGAAAAGCCTTTGGTTTGGACCGTGATGGCACCAGTGATGGACATGTGCATGTTGTTCATTGATGGAGTCAACATATTCAATGCAGAGAAAGCCTTGGGTATAGATGGCACTCACTCGGACTGAGAGCACAGGAGCAGCTGGGACCTGTTTCCAGGCCAGAGCCACACAAGCAGGTTTTCTTTTGGCAAATTGCTTGACAGCACAAGAAGGGAAAACAAAACTGGTTCTGGCGACATTTCACCTGTGAAGACCTGCTTAATGCACAGGGCATCAGCTCCTTCCTGCACTTCTCACTGCCATCAGAGAATATTTGGCCAGAAAGCTTGAACTCTCCGTGAAACATCACAGGCAGCCCTGAAGGGTTACAGAACCACAGAGAAAGGAAAGAACAAAAACCCACCCTCAAATGGCTTGGGTGAAGTTCCCCCAAGCTCTGCCCCAGCTTTTAATTCATCTTCTCATGATTTTGTGTGCCAAGAGGGGGCCAGAAATTCATCGGTACCACCTCTGGATTTGCTGCAACATCAGTATCTGTCTGGGGAGAGATCTAGATGTCTTTGGAAATCTCTTTGGCTGCTTTTAGCATCTTCTGCAAGGAACTAAGTTCTTCTTGAGACCCTGATCTCTGCTGCCAGAGTTCACCATGAGAGGTCCATCATGAAAGCCCCCAAGGGGCAGAATTGATGGCACAGCCCACTGCTGTTCCTTCTGTTTGAATCAGCAGCAAGACTTTCAGGATCTGGTATCACCAGCCAAACCATGGAGATGCAGACACAAGTTAAATACACAGGACCACTTCCCCCAAGCAACAGATGCTCCATGAGCTGGCTGCTCCTCTAGGATCATCCAACCCCTAAAGCTCCCTCGTGATGAACAGAGGGGATGCAGGAGGTCCACCTCCGTGGTGTGGATGGCATATCCAGGGACTGGGAAGGGGCCAGTTCAAGCAGGTGGAAAGCAGGATAAAGGGAGAGCCCTGACGCACCTTGTACAGTCTGTTTGATGGGTCGTGGCGGCTCTGAGGCAGTGAAACAGAGCCTTCGAGAGAGTTTGGGGGCCACGTTGTGGAGCAGGTGGAAATCTTCAATGTAAAGCACGTGCTCTGCAGTGGGTTCTGAAGCTATTTTGTTCAGTTCATTCTTGTCAGCACCCTTAATCCCTAGAAGAACAAAAGAAGAGGAATGGAAGACATCAAACACCATCCCTGGAGCAGGCCAGGGATTGGCAAGGGTTGTCAAGAGCAAGCTGGAGCAATGTGCTGGCCTTCAAGTTTCACACCAGCTTTGCAGTCATGCTGCCCACGGTGAAGGATGAAACAAGGAATGGAAACTCATGTTGGACAGGCAGTGGTGAAGCAGATGAAGCCATCAATAAAGAGGTGAAGGGTTTCTCCAGAGGCATGTTAGAGATTGACCCAGGGGATTCAGCTGCTAATGGGGCGAGGTGAAAAGCTCTCTTGGGGTGGAGAGTGAAAAGGAGCAGGGCAGGATCTGGCCTCATCCTTCTCACGGGATACAGAGACATTTCTGCCCTTCTGATGGATGGACAGACAATGGGACTTTGGGAGGCTGCGTGAAAATTGCAGGGTTTTCCTGTGGCTGAATTAAAAAAAGGCAGGAAAAAAAATCCAACAAACCAACCCTCCCTAATTTTACCTCACATTTGCCCAAAATGACTCGGTTGCTCTCTATAAGGAAACACCATCACCATCCCCTTCTTCCCCCCGAAATGTTTGGTGAACGAAGGATTTGACTTCTAACAAATGGCTGTATTTAGCTCTTGGGGGCAGGGAGGTGCTAAAACTTTTCCTTGCCCATGGAATTATTCTGAAGGACATGTTTAAAGTAGCTGAAGTCGGTCTCTGAACCCCATTAAGAGAAAGGTTCAAAAGTAAAAACATTTCATTTTTGAAAATGTCACATCAAAACATTTTGACTTTTATGGAACTATTTATTGAACTCCTCCTGCATTCGCAAGTAGTTTTGACAGATGCAAAACCGCAGATTTCCACTGAATAAATCAGCTATCGACAACCACAAAAAATACCAAGCACAGCATAGATGTGATTTTGCTGTACTTGCAGTAGTTGCTAGTGGTTGAGCCTCGGGACGGGTGCAGTTTTTAGAGGAGGGGGTTGTTGTGCATCAGGAACCTTCCCCAGTGTGTAGATTGAATGTTGGTGTGCACACAGTATTTGGTGGTGATGTTCCATGTAACGTAGCGTGTCCATACGTACCTACAGCAAACACCGTCACCCCCCTATCCTGCAGGACCCGGGCTTCATCCTCAACTAAGTCGCCGGACTTCTCATCCGTGATCAAAACAACTACCTGCAAGAATTGGTGTAAGAGCCAGAGAATGGAAGAGCACAACATGAGGAGGTCACAGAGACAGGTGCAGGATTTTCACACTGACTAGTCAGACCTTGGATGAAGTCCATCTCTCTGAAGGGATGGGCACTTGAAAATAAATCCTTTGATAACTTCTGGGGTAACTCGCATGAAATCAGCTTTCATGAGCACGAGCTGAGAAGGCAGAGAGTATAAAAGCTGATGCTTGTGTCAGCATCTTCTCGGCATGTCTCCTCCTGCCCAACTGTATCTCACCTCTGCTTGGGGCAGTAACTCTGGGTTGACAAGGAGATTAATGTGAGCACAGAGAGAGGATTCACCCCTACAAGTCCACAAGAGCAGCTCTTAAAGGAGGATTCAGCTGCACCCTGGACAACGCACTTGGCCACTGGCACCTGGATGGTGCTATCAGGTGGTAGGAAACTCGCTCAGCTACAGCCTGGGTTTCAATGACAGCCAACTCAGCAACCCCAGACCTAACAAGCTTTTTGGGCACCCCCGTGTCAGATCACGTAGCAGGAGATGCGGCTGGTGCATGGGATGATATAATGAAGACATACCCTGCTGCAACACCTTTAAGCAGGCAGTTGGGGTGGTTAACACATCCCACCTGTATTGTCACGTTCTCCCTCCTGCTCTGTCACCCAAACCAGGTCTCACTGACCACACTGATAGCACGGATCACACAGACTGCGTTTGCCATGCAGGATCTCAAAGTGAAAGAGAAGGTGCAGCACTGAGCTGCAAATGTGGGAGGCCCATGGGAGGCGAAAGCTGGCTGTGATCGTTTCAGACTCGATGCATGGGGTGTATCCACTCCCCATGGGGCTGTCCTCTTCTTGATTTCAAGACTGTTTAGCATCAGAGCAGAGTGGAATGAACCACTTCATGCAGCCTGCAGAGCAACCCAGAACGCAACATCCTCAGAATCCCTTAGAAATTATGAACAACACCTTCTCTTTTGCACCCTCAGAATCCTTTAGAAATTATGAACAAAATAATTAAAAAAACCCAAAAATCTGAAGAAACCTATGATACAGAACTGATGTTTGATACGTAAAGACAGCAACATGTCTGCTTTTTGAGCAAGATGCTAACTGTGCTGCAACTCTTTGTAACAAGGCTATTAGCGGACTATTAGCAACAGCTACGTGCACCAACACCACAACTTCTTGATTTGTCCTTATCATGTCCTGAGCCTGCTCAGTCAGCTTATGCAGTAAGTGCCCCGAATTTGGGTACTCAGCTGGAGGCATTTAAGATTGGAATGCTGGGTACCTCTGCAATCTGTGGGGAAACACGAGCATTTTCAAAAAGTGAGGCAGTCCTTTGAAAATCTGGAGGTGCCTTGCCTCCCTCTATCACCGATAAAGTGACCTGAAGCTGAATGAGCTCCTAAATGTGGTACCTCAACTCCAAGCTAAAAATCAGATGGGATAAATAAAAACCAAATGGCTCATTCATGCCTTCAGGTGAAGAAGTTAGAGGTCTGATCCCTACTGAGGATGACACCAGGGAAGTCATCACAGGAGGTCACTTACCTTTGCTGCATCCTCTCGCAGCATGTCCAGGCGAGACATGGCGTGAGCCGCAAACGTCAGGGCTGACCCTGTTTTTAAGTTGCCACCTTTGAAGGAGAGATCCTGAATTGCCACCAGGATTTCTTCAATGGTCACATAATCCGTGAGCTCAATACTCATCCTGGGAATGAGAAATGGGGGAATACGGGTGAATAAGGAGCAAGAAAACACCGTTGGTATAGCAAGGATGCATTGATAATAGCAATGACGAGCGATAATGTTGACATTTAGCTGGTCACATTAGGCTTATATGTAGGCAAGGAGTCCTCTTCACATTGGTCAAGGGAGTCCAGGTTATGAGCCCCACAGAGCCCTGTTACCATAAAACACTATCTAAAATTTGATGGCGAGGAATTTCTTGTGGCTGCATTAAATATCAGCCTCCCTGCCCTGAAAGACTTCCCCATGGCCGAGTACCTCTAGACTCTGGTGGCACTGCTGGAGGTTGAACTCTTGCTCTGCTCTTGTAATGGTCCAGCAGAGCAACAAGAGCTCTTTAATCATGGGGACATGGTTGCCCATCTAGAACCATAGGGCTATAGAAACCCAGGTGCTGGTGGTAGAGGATGGACTGACCCACCTTGGTTTCTCCCCGTAGAGCGCCACTGCCAGCCGGATGCCTCCTTTGCCCATCACCACGTTCTCAAAGGAACGGGCCATGCTGCTGATGAAGTCCTTGACCAGCCGGGAGTTCTCCCTCCCTACGCCCTGTGACTGCCCCACGAGGAACAAAATATCGGCCACCTCCGCTGTCCTGCATGCTGAGGGAGAAGAAGGGCAAGAAGGCTCATCTCACACCATGCCATGAGCCAGTCAGGAGCTAAACCCCTCTGAGTCAGGTGAACCCCCAAGATATTGCAGCTAAGGAATATTGCTTAGGCCCAATGAAGTGGGTAATCATGGGATTCCCAGAGCAACAGACTGCTTTGTTCTCTTTAATTTCCTCCTAATTCCCCATTTTTGCCATTCTTACCCAGGGGAAGTTTCTAATTTGAAGCACAAACACTGAGACCCAGATCCATCAAGGCATGCAGGTCTGTAGGACCTGCTGGAGGCAATGGGATGCCTGGGGTTTCATATGCCTGGAGGTAGACATGGACACCTAAGCCACACACAACTGAAATTTGGGAACGTGGCGGCTCTGCCACCCCACCAACCATCCTGGGCTTGCATCAGGGACTCCAGAGCCAATGTGGGACACTCGTGCAGACACAGGGCCACTTGGCCACCCATGCTTTGCCAGCGCTAAAAGAACCAAGTCTTCCAGTCTAGCACAGAGAGAGCTCGGGATGCTCCACACATTCAGCTTTGCAACATTCCCCTCTTGCCCAGCTGCCAGCGGCCACGAGCATGAAAAGTATCTTGTGCGAAGAACGAACAATTTGAACATTTTTTTTCTGTAGAAGCCAGAGCTATCTGATGACAGCTGGCAAGGAAGGGATAGGTGTACAGGGAAATTTGTTTAAGGAACATCGGGGCATATTTCCCTATACAGTGTTCAGTCTCAATTGAATTTAATTTTCCTTAGGCCTCCAATAAATATATTTCATGGACTGAAATCTGATGACTTTTAGGGATGCGTAAATTAATGATGGCTCTACAAGGGGTGTTCAAAATTTATATTTTCTTCGGTGTTTCTCTCCTTTGCAGATAGGCGCTGAGTTATTACTGTAGGGCTACTAAAAAGTAGACCGTGCTGACTACTGGAGGAGAGCTTTTTGTGTCTTGCTCACCAGTACTGGGCTCAACCTCTTCACATTTTTTTCATTTTGTGTCACTGCTGCTTTGGACTTCACCCAGCCACTGCCTTGACTTTCAGCTGCAGGTCTGGAGACCCAACTCACACCCAACCGTGCTGCAGCATTTGTTCCAGTTTGCTGGGGAGATGTGCTAGGTGGGTTTCTCACGCTTCTGCTGCGAACAGAAAGTCTGTTTTTAGCTCAACCTCTTCAATTCACCTGACTTTTACCCCATTTCTATAAGCAGGCTCCCCAAAGGTATTGGAAAGATGCAGGTTTCATGTTCTCCTTCATTCCTGTGTCCCTGATCAATCTCCTTTGGCCACACAGCAGGACAGAGGATCGTTTGCTGGCTAGGGATGGATGGCAATCCAAGGGTCTTTGTTACCCAAGGCTTTTAGTGTCTTCATCTTTCTTTGTACCTCCTGACACTGAGCTCTTCATGACTTAACAGTTCTGTTTACTGCAGAAAAATAATGGCTTGCTCTTTTTGCTTTTACTTGTACCCAGCTGGAAATATAAAGCTCTTGCCCTTGACAAAAATGGGAGACAATTATTTCAATTTTCCTTCCTGGAGCTCTCTGTTGATATCTCCCTTCCCTTCTCAGTCCTCCGTAAGTGCTTTTCAGCTGAGATGTCGGGGTGTCTTGGAGGCAGCTCAGCTGCTAACAGCAGATCACCATAAGCTCTTTTCCCAGCTGACACTTCTATTTTGGATCTACCCCTTTTCCCTAGCTTTCACCTTGACGTCTCTGTTCCCCCAGAAGACTTGGAGGAAAGGCAATGCCAGTCCTTGGCTCTAACCTCAGAACGGGTGGAAATCGTTCAACATCTTCCCAGGGTAACCACAACCTGTATTACCACAAGCAAATCCCAACAAAGGTTCAACAAGATGGAGAAGACCACCCACCAACCCTCCCAAAATCACCCACTTCTTGGAGCTACTCAAGGCAGTGCAGACAGTTTTTCTTGGGAGACCTGCATTTTTCGGCCCTGATCTGGAAAACACGCTCAAAATGCCATTGGTATCAGGGGGACATTTGCTACCTACTTCTCCACATCCCAAAACCCCAGAGAGCCTCCTCCACCCGTGCCTGGCCCCTGGGAGTCTTGCTCGCCCTACAGAATGCTCCTGCCCTCATTTGCATCCAGGGATAATGAAGAGAAAGGCAACAAGCAAGAGCTCCGTGGGATTAAAAAGGGCAGGATGGTGCTCCTTCATCTATAAAGGGGCAACCAGAGCCCATTCTGGGAGATGCTGAGCGCCTTTCCAGAGGGGCCAGTCTGGCAATGAAACCCGAGAGCGTTTGCTGCTTGGATCAGGTACCTGAAGCTGTCATTGGAAACATGTGATGTTAAGCATATTTGGATTGGTACCTTCTGGAGAAAATACCAACACAGACAGCTATATTAATCACAGGGGGATATGATTTTATTTGAAATTTTCCATGCACCTCCAAAATTACCACGTTTCATCAATCACAGGTTTGCCAGAGACATCTGTAAACGTTGATTTATTGCACTGTTCCCAGCTTTGAATTAAATAGCATTATAGTCAAGTATATTGGCTTAATTGACGGACAGCAACTTAATCAAGTTAATTTTGTAGCTGATGCCAAAGCTTCCATTAACTCCTTGTTGAATGTGCTGGAGTTAGCCCAGGTGAATTTACACCTTCAAAGCCTGAGGGCTTGTTGCTGCAGGACAATTTGAAGAGAGGGGACCCACTGGCTCATACCCAGCCCCGTGACAGTCCTGGGAGCTCTGGATTAGCTTTGTAGGACGCTCACAAAGAGCCTCCCCCTCCTAGCTGGACCCTGAGCCTACAGAGACATGCTGTAGATCACGCTGTAACTCCATGAGGCTTTTCTCTGGGTTCCTTTTGTCTCCTGCCTTTTGGGCCCAGCTCCTCCTCACCAAAAGTTCTCTGTGGGCTTGTACAGGTGACAGAGAGCCAGGAAGGAGGTGAGCCCTTGTGCCATCTCGACTCTCTAAGCAGCAGCAGGAGGCTTCAAGGCTGCCTTCTCTCTCATATCCCCTGTGTGGTGGTTTGTCCCAACTCTTGGCGATCAGAAGAGGGATCAGGAGGGGACACATTTTCGTTTCCTCCCCACCTTCCTCTGGAGCAGCTAGGTGCAACAGTCTTAGGGGCAGGAGACTGAGCAGAGCTCTGATCTCCCCATAAATCCTAGTGGAGCAATTCAAGTCCTGCCTGCCTTTTGGACCCAGCTGAGATGCTCGGTTAGCCAGATGATCCCAACCTAAAAGGACCCTATGCAGAACTTAAAGGCATCAGCACTACAGCTCCACCATTACAGCATCTGTGTGTGTATCCATGACATTAGCAGAAACAGCTGCTTGGGAAAGGTCTTTTTCTCCCTGATATGACTTAGCATCACCCCCAGCTGCTCTGCATTCATGATAGCCCATTTGTCACGTACCTTCATGAACGGCCACGGCTCTGTACTGCGCCACAGCCACTGCCAGGGCAAGGATCTGGGCATACAACATTTTCCTTTTCTGTAGGAAGAAGCTCCTTCTTGGTTCCTGGAGTCAGCACACAGCCTGGAGAGTCATTCACCTGCAGGAGGAAAGAGGCTTTTACGCATGCCATCTGAGTCTGATGCTCCCACCTGCCTACAGTGGCAAGGGAAGCTTTTCTCCAGCTACAAAGGCTCTTCTTGGCTTAGGTAACTGGCATTAAAGTCCATAAATCCACTAATTCCTTCATCTCTTTGCTGATGGGAGATGTCTACAAGGGAGAGCTCAGCTCTGCTCCCCCAGCACCCTTCCCTAGCAGCACCCTTCTTCAGGCAACAACCACCTTAGGCAATTAAGCCTAAACGTGAATATTAGTGTGGTGTGATGACAGAGGGAAACATCGGCTACCCTCAGTTACACAGGGAGGAAAGGTCTGTAGAAGATCACTGCAGACAGCAATCACCAGCACTCAAATCCTTGTTAGCCTTTTTTGCAACTAACCTTCAGGTTCCTAAATCCAGGATTAACTGCCTTGGGCTTGCTGCTCTTGGAGATCCAGCCCACCATTGTGGAGCAGCCAAAAGGTGGACAGCTTAACGACTCCCCAAAATTGTTACAGAAGTCCCCCTCTGTGAAGCAGGACTTCTCTCTATGAAGCAACAACTGCAGAAGAAGTGGGGTTGCCAGGAGGGGTTTTATTCTTTTTTGATGGGCAATAAAAAGTTCTTCTCTGGTTCTGAGCCTCACCTGCTCATCCCGGGCCGAGCAGATTTCACAGGGAGACATGGATGATTTCCAGGGTGGAAATTACAGGCGGGGGGAAAAGACGAGCTCGATGACTTCATCCAGCCCAGCTCTTTGCCAGGGCTGGATTGCTCCTTCCAGTTAACAACATGCAGCCTCAAAAATCACATTGCGTTATAGATTGGGGCCCTTTTGGAACACAAAGCTGAGTTCCTGTGCACAGCGTGGAACAACCCCACCTAAATGAATCCCCAAACAAGATGAAGGTCAAGTGCCTGGAGCAGCCTGGTGTGCATCTAGACCGCAGGGGCACCAGGGCTGTGGTCACCTTGCCCATCATGTAGGTACAACCATCCCTGAGACTCTCAGGACTTAAGTTCCCCTAATGTGTTTTCTGTTTCTTATTTTCCTTCTCTCTTCTCCTAATTGCTGGGTGTACGTGGATGTAATCAAGATCTCTGCTGTGCCGCGGTTAACCTGTGCTGTGTCCTTCCTTTGTAACTCCTGTCAAAACCTCTGTGTGGTGCTGCCATTAGTTGCTGTGGAGATGGCTTCAAAGCAAAAACACAATCTTCCCCCCTGAAACAACCTCAAGTCAAAACAAAACAAGCGAACGCAGGCTTTTTAACAACACAAGTTAATAAGCTTCTAGAAAATCAAGTAATGGAGGAGAAGCGCAGAGCTGAGACTCAAGAAAACTAGGTTTTACCACCTCCTCTTTTGCAAGAGTTGTGTTACGAGCTTTGGCAAGATCACCCCATCACCCCTCAGATCCCAGCACCCTTCTTGCAACGCCAACCCAGCATCATCCCCTTTTCCCTTCCCTACCTCAGCTTGGTAGGGCAGTGTCTGTCCTGGACCATAACAAACACCTCATGGAGCAGGAAGGCAGCAAAACCTTTGATTAGATTTCTGAGCTCTGTCTTAATATTATTAAGAACATATGCCCCCCAGAAATGTTCCTGCAGAGACCCTTATTTCAATGTTT